AAAAAAAAAAAAAAAGAATTGAGTTTCCCAGTTTGAGACATGGTCCAGGCCTGGGAGCTACTAAGCAAACATGGTATTCTAACTTGAGCTTACCAGGCCAGTTCTGAGAGTCAGGCTGGAAGGGACGTGAGGGAGCCATGCAAGGGAGGGGCTAGCTCTGAGTAACGAGACTCAAAGGAAGGGCCTGGTGGTCACTTGGAGTGTTGGTAGGAGTAGGCTAAGTGTCACTCAGTCTGTTTGTCAACGTGGCCATGCAGCAGATGATCCTGCAGCTGGGGTTGATCAAATTTGAAAAAAGTTTTCAAATTTCCTGTATCCTATCCATTCAGGACAATAAAACTTGGGCAGCAACTGGATACCCTGGTTGGGCTCAACTGAGTCTCTGGACAGAGTGACTGGGCAATCTGTCAAGGGAGTTGAGCTGTAGAAGGTTACGAGGGCTCAGTCAGGATTTAGGGTGGTGGTTTGGCCATGTTTCCAAGATCAGCAGGGAGAGAGCTCATGATGTGTGGGAAAACTGATGCCTTGGCAGGTGCCTGGGCACCCGCTCAGTACAACATGATCCATTCCAGACCCCCTGGCTGGCAGGAAAGTCTGGGTGAGAGTCTATAGGTGGGAACATCAGCACTGGGTCCTGGGAAGGCTGGGTTACCTCTGATGGGCTAGTCCCTTGAGCACTGGGCTAGGGAAGACTGGCAAGTCCCTTAAGCACAGTATGCCATGTCTAATCACTTAAGGGATTGTGTGGGAAAGCAGCAAATTTCATACCCAATCTCCTGGGTTCAGTTCCTGGCTCTGATTCTTACCCATTGTATGACAAGAAATGGAACCTCTCTGGGCCTCTGTGTTTTCTTCTGTAAAACAAGAGTAAACACAGAGACTACCGCAGAGGGTAGAAGAGGAATGGGTGTTAAGCACTGTGTCCACACATAGTAAACCCTTCCCTGGTTATCATGCAGTACCCAGTGCCAACCTGCAGTCTTAGGTGACTTACAAGAGCATGTCTTGTGGAGAGCCTCCATAAGGAAGTTTTCTCCTGAGATTTCCATTCCTCTGGCTGACTCAGGCAGCCCCAGTCATGCTGCCATACACTGTGTCTCATGGATTGTGTCCTTAGCCCTTGACAGGTTCTGAAGATAGCATCTGGGAACAGACATTCCCAGTCACTGTGCTGCACTTCCTCAGCCTGGTACACCGCACCTACTCCCAGGACCCGGCGTGGCGGGCCCCAGAGTTTCTCCAGACCTTGGCTATAGTCACCTTCCCCTTGGGAACCCAAAAGGTAAGGCGTGCCGCTGCCCTGTACCAGAGAGAGCAGGTGTGAACTTCACCATCCTTCATGGTGAGAGGCTAAATTCCTCCCCACCTCCCAAAGTTAAAATACACTTAAAGCAACTTGACTGGAACATTCAATAAACAACTTGGGTAATTTTCCTTTTCTTGGCTGAGATGTATGTAACTAGAGGTCATTTTCAGCTCTGGGACTCAATCATTTGTTTTGAATTCTTAGGAATGAGAAATTTGATGGTAGATCAAGTCCAATTCTATATGGAATATTCACACACTGGTAATAGGAAACAGTGAATCCTTTCCAGGAAGCCTGTTGCCTATGTGCCATTCAGGGGAGGGGGTGGTACTTTTGTCCTGTTTGCAGGCCCCTTAGGACATGACTCAGATCCCCTTCCAGGCAGTAGGTTTGTGAAGAACCAGCTTAGAGCCAGAAGAACCAGGGAAGATAGAGGACCGACTTGGGTCTTCTGTCTTCTGTGATGAGCAGTTGAAGAAGTAACTTAGGGAAAATGTGAGTTTGTCCCAGCAAGTCAAGGGGCAGCCAAGTTGAAGGATTTATAATCCCAAATTGGGGGGCTTATAATCCAGGACAAGCAACTAGGCAAAGTGGCACACACCTGATATTCCTATAACTTTGGGGGCTGAGGCAAATTTGATTCCAGTCTCAGCAACTTAGGAGACCCTGTCTCAAAATAAAAAACACAAAGGTCTGGAGGTGTAGCTCAGTGGGAGAGCACTTGCCTAGTATGTGCTAGGTTCTGGGTTCATTCCTCAGTGTCTGTTGGTCTGTCTGTCTATTTATTTCATACACACACACACACACACACACACACACACACACACACACACACACCCCTACCCATGACAAGCACAGAGCTAGGCATGGAGTGTATGCTCCATAATCATTTGCTAAATCATCAAATGAATGGGAGAAATGTTCTCTTAGCTAACCTTTCCCAGGGGTGTGTCCATGTTGGCACATTGGTCCCAAACCTGGTGCTTCACATAACACTAACAGCAATCAGAAAGAGGAAAGTAGAATATGAGACTCAGAGACAAAGTGGTGCTCATAAGTCTCATCTCACAAAATGATTGAGAAAACAAAGTATGTCACAGTTCCTGGGATTAACATGCAACAGAGCTAAGATTTAAATTTTGGTCTCTCACCCCAAAGCCTGAGTTTTTTACATTTAAATCCATGTGATGGGTTTAAAATAAAGTTAAATAACTAATAAAATTGAAAAATACAGTTAGCTCTCTATATCCATGGGTTCCCCATCAGGGATTCAATTAACCTCAGAGAGAAAATATTTAAAAATTTTTTGGTGTGTACTGAATGTGTATATGTTTTTCCCCACCACTGTTCCCTAAATAATAGATTTATAACAAACAGTCACATAGCATTTACATTGCATTAGGCATTATAAATAATGTAGAGATAATTTAAAGTATATGGGAGGTTGTTCCTAGGGTATGTGTAAATACTATGCCTTTTTATGTGAGGGACTTGAACATCTGTGGAATTTGCTATACTCAGAGGTTTCTGGAACAAATTCCTCACAGATACTTAGGGACAACTGTAATTAGACTACATATAAAGACAAGAGGATTTGAAAAAAGATAAAATGGTTTCAAAATGTTTTGATGGATTAATATAAACTCGAGTAACTTACTAGGAAATTAAGAATAAACAAAAGGCAGTGATAGACACAGGAAGGCCCTGAGGGCTGAAGCTGTAGGTGGAGGTGGGGGTGGGGGTGGGATCTACACAAGGAAACTCAGGTGGCTCAGACCAGGCAGGGAAGAGGGACAATTTTACAGTCTGTCTCCTGCGATCTCCTTGGCACTTCCTCTGTAGGAGACAAGATGTGACATTTCAGTCCTAATGCCCATCTCAGCCCCTCCCCCCAAGGAACAAGCTTGATGTTACTGAGTCGAGGCTCCAGTTGAGCACACAGTGCACACCCTGGCATAGGACTGACCCAAAAGTCACCTCTGCAGCCAGCAAACACCCTAGTGGGCTGGTTGGGCCCTGTCTTGGGGTTCCTAGCTCCAATTCCAAGGTGCTTCTCCCTTATGACACTCTCTTGCCTTGTCCCAGCTTCCAAGTCAGCTCGCTAGGCCTTTGTTGCACAGAAAGCATTGCAGACCCTCCCCACACAGAAGGCTGGCAGCCCAAAGCCTTCGATTTGCTATGAATTTATATGGCATCTTTCCAGTTGAGGCCGCATGGAGCTAATTAATGCAGTCGCCACCTCCCTAGGTGCCATTAAATTCATTTTATGGCTTAATTAAGAACGGCGGCATTAATTTTATGAATGAGCAAAGGGAGGTGCCAACAGATGAACGCGCATGAAAAGTTCATGGGCCGGGAGTCAGGAGTCCCTGGCCGCGTGTCCTTGGGTGTGTCATTTGGCCTCCCTGCATCTCCAGGTCCTCCTGGACTATCTGGGGTAATGACTCTTGTCTCCTCTATCCCCTGTTTTTATAAACCTCAAATGAGGAAGTGAATGCTCAAGTGCTTCAGGGATTCAGGGAAAGGACTCTGCAGTTTTGCTTCTCCATCTTTCCTACCTGAAGGTCCTGTCTGTCAACATGATCAGGGCCTGGGCAGGAGGAAAAGGTGGGGACGCCACCACAAGGTGGAAGCCAATGTCCACTGACCCCCTACCAAGCTGCCAGGCATTGCTGCATCTATTATTCTCTCATTTCCTTTCCACAAATCCTCTGTGAGGGTGGTTTTTATGATTGCTATTTAACAGATAGGCAGCTGGCTTGGAGGAGTGAAGCAACTTGCCCCCAACAGATTTTGGATTTTGTTGCAGAGCACTGCAGTTCTCTCTGACTTGGTGGCTCAGTTTTTGTTGTTGTTGTTGTTGTTGTTGTTGTTGTTGTTGTTTTTTGCACAATATCAACCTATCTCAGTCAGATTCTCAGACCACAGTGGTAACTGTGGCCATAGGCAAGTAGGCTCTGGGCAAATCATACTTTGGCAGAGCCTCAGTTTCCACCCATGTCAATGGATATGATGATAATTCTGCCTGTTCCCATCAGAGACAGATGTGAAAGAGCTTCCAGGCCACACATGTTAGGGTTCTCTTGTCTTTGAGGGGCCTTCGGCTGAGTCCACCTGGAACACCAGCAGTCCTGGGACTGTCTCTGAAGGTGACAGCCCCAAGGAAGGTCTCCAGGCTCCTGTCAAGTCACACCCTGCCCGGAGGCAGCTGAGAGACTTCACTCAGATCCTCTTGAGGGAGCTCCTGCTTGGAACCCCCAGCCCCAAGCAGTGGCTGCCACTGGAGGTGCTTCTGGAGGTGGGTTGGAAAGGGTATTTATTGCTGGGCTGTCTTTTATGGGAGTGGGTCTGGGAGCCAAAGGGCATTGCAAGGGCAAGGGATGGCCAGGCCTGAAGATGCTGGCTGGCCAGTGGTGGAGTCACCGCCTCATGATCTGGGGGGGATGTTTATGAACTTCAGGCCCTGGCAGAGTGCCAGATGAATAGAAGAATAAGGGCAGGGTCCTGGGAAACTGAGCCTGAGGTGAGAGTGTTATAGAAATGATATATTGTAGGGACTGCCGTCAGGAGGAGAGAGGGGAGCAGAGGAAAGGGGAAGATGCTCTCCTAGAGGTGGTTTCTACTGGAGCCTGGTCTCAAGGGGGTGCTGGTACTCTCTGTGTCCCATAGTCAGCCTCATCTTGGGCACCTGCCAGGTGACCTTTGACTGCGGATTCCCCCACTTATTTACCCCTGGAAGTAGGTCTTGCCTACTAGATAAGGCAGCTCAGTGAGCAGAAAGCAATGCCTTGGAGGAGGCCTAGTTGTGAGTGGTCAGCTGGGTACTATTGCACCTGCTGGGCAAGGGGTTAAGGGGACATTATGGCCATGCGACTGCTTTCTCAGTCCCAGGCTGTGCTTCCAGGCTTGTCCAGACAATGCCACCAGCCAACAGAAGCGTGACTTCCAGTCTGAGGTCCTTCTTTCTACCATGGAAATATTCCACATCATGAGTGGAGGCAACATGGCACTCAGAGGTGAGTGGATGACTTGGTCCTTCCTGTTTCCGGCATTCAGCTGCTGATGGCTAATCAGGAAAGCCAGTATTCATGCTTACTCCTGATTCTGACTATGGGGTACTTCATCCTCCATCTGGGCGTATCCTCCATGTATCTGCAACAAGAGCTCATTGACCCCTGCCCAGTGAGTGATGAGATGCTTTCTGCTTTCCATGACACCCCTGCCATCACTGTGCCACTTGGAGACAAAAGGTCTTCCTGTCCTCTGGGTTAAAATTGACTTTTCTTTAGCTTCAGTACAAATGTGACCCCTTCCCATAAGAGAAGTCCAAACGGCAGGGATTCCACAGTCTTCTGCTCAGCATCTTGTGCTGTGTCTGGGTACTGAGTAGGTACTTGACAAATGTTTCTTGAACAAATGAAGCTGGATTAAGATGCTGCCTTTGCTTTTCAGAATTTGAGCTGAAGACCATCGAAAAGCAGTTCCAGGGAAGCTGCCCCTTCTCAGGGAGCTTAAACAAACATTCTTTCTGTGGTTTTTGAGACACAGAAATCCCTAGCTACTTGACTTATCTCCTAGACTCTGTCTTACCACAACATGAAAACCTTAGCTTTCTGGTCTTTCTCCTGGAATGCTTGATGTGTGAGAGAAGCAGAACAGTGAATTCAGTGTGGTTGGGAAGTCCCTGTGGGTCCTGGCTGTGTCAATGGACAGCAGTGAGACCCAGGGCAAAGGCCTGGATCTGTGACTCTCTGAGTGAGGATGACAACTACTATAGCTGATTCACAGGGTGTTTTTAGAGATTAGCTGAGATCACCACACACTCATCCAAGCACAGTGCTTGTAAGTGTGAGCACAAATGCACTATCAGCTTTATGGCTGTATCTTCTTCCAGTGCAATAGCAAGAACTCAGATCAGCACAATGCCTTCTCATTTGCATCAGGCATTAAATTCTCCTCCATCCTTATTCTGAAGAGTTACTGGAAGAAATGCCTTTCTCACAGCTTGATTTCTATCACTGGCCAGATTAATCAAGATCAGTTTACTTTGTGGGGGTGTTCAATAAAAGATTCCACCTTTGAAACAATGGGAATCAGAGATGAGTAAGACATGGCTGGTTATGAGGAGGGGCCCAGAGATTGTTGTGGAGAGAAGCATATTTAGACTCTCATCTTGGTCTATCTCTACTCCACTCAGGCAGTAAAGAGCCTCAGCCAAACATAGAAGCTGCCGCCGCTCCTTCCCTATCAAACATCTCCTACTTCACCCAGAAGCTGGTGGAGAAGCTGTATGGTGGGATCTTCTCAGCAGACCCCAGACATATTCTTCTCTTCATCACAGAGCACATCATGGTGGTAAGAACCTGGGATGGCTGGGGTAACAAGACACCTCTTTGTGACTGACCAGGAGTCTGTGTGATGTACCTGGTCATTGCTCCTTTGGTCCAGCTGAAATTTTGTCCTTTGCTGAAACAGAATCTGAGCTGGGTGGGAGGAAGAAAGCAGTCCTTTAAGACCCAGGAAATTCCTGGTGGCTATTGAGTGCCCTGCAGGGCTTACCTGCAGGACCCCTGAGATACTCCTCAGCCTCAGCTCCCTGTATAGGCACTGATCTCTGTCCCTCTCAGACTCTACTTCCTTCCACTTGAGTTTTTACCATGATTATTGGTTTAACCTTAAGTATTGTTATTTCTTATGAGCAATGAACAGGCCAAAAAGGTCTTCAACTTAAAGGGCCTATTTTCTTTTCTTTTTTTAAATTGGTTCTTTTTAGTTCTGCATGACCCCAGAATCCATTTTAATATAATTATGCAAGCATGGACTATATCTTATTCTAGTTAGAGTCCCATTCTTATGGATGTATATGGTGGTAGGATTCACTGGGTTGTTTTCATCCATGTGCATGGGAAACTAGGTCAGATTTCTCCTGCTGTCTTTCCTTTGCTTGTCCCCCTTCTCTTCCCTTCATTCCCTCATTGTCTAATCTACTGCACTTCTGTTCTTCCCCTCACCCCCATATTGTGAGTTAGCTTCCACCTATCATAGAAAACATTCCACCTTTGTTTTTTGAGGACTGGCTTACTTCATTTAGAATGAGAATCTCCAGATCCACAATATCTACTTCATTCTGTTAATCTTTCTGCCCTCCTGAAATCAAGGCAGGACTCCATTTTTACCAAGTCCTATTATTCTTGCTCATAGCCACACAAGAAAATGCATGCCTACAGAGCCATCCTTAGATATACACAGGTTCACAGAGGAAATTGTAACCCTAAACTCCTAGAGTTGAAAGGGGCCTCTTTTCGATCCCTGCCTCCCACTGCATGCTGGGGACCTTTGCTGACAAGCTGCTGTGAGCTCTTTACTTGAACTCATGTGATGAAGTGCTCGTTATCAAAGTTGTCCTGCCTGTAGGATGTCTGTGACTCTTGGGAAGGACCTTCTCTTATCACACTAGAACTGCCACCCACAGATCCCAGGACTGAGTCTCAGCACAGTGCTGTTCTGGGTGATGTATAGGTTGACACCAACCTGAAAATAATATATTGAGAGGTTTTTTCACGAATGACTCCAAGAAGGGAGAAAGAGTTTCTTGTCAGCTCCGGGAAGATTAAAATCAGATCCTTGGGAAGTTGTGTTGAGAATGAAAAGAGTTTCTGGTGGTCAAAGAAATTCTCAGAACCAATTCCGAAGAGCATGAACCTGCCAGGACTGGTGTGCATTTAGGTGGTACCAGGCACAGGGACCTCGATTCTCCCCAGCCCTTAACCTCAGTTGAGAGGTGCAGGAGGAGCAGGAGAGAAGAGGGATGAAGACTTGACTCCCAGATTAAAACAGGTTGAAATCAAACTGAATTACATGGAGTAGAAACACCTGCACTACTTAAAAAATTCCAAGGGAGCAACCTTTGACTAACAAGTGACTTTCTAATAGACTAGAAACTTTGCATGTGATTTGTGATCTGTGAACTCTTTTCACCGAAGTCCAACATGTATGAACTAATCAGTGTTGAGGCTGCTAATCAAGAACTGTCTCTCCCTCTAAGTTTCTCATAAACTAAAATACACAGGACTCCATTCCCTTTAGACGATATCGTGGTTAAGGGCATGGCTCAAGTGTCCAGTGTGTCTTTGACCCTTGCCCTTCCTGACTACCTAACCTCTCTGGCCTTGACTTCTTATCCCTAACGTGGGGTTATCTTAGTATCTACTTGATGGTGTTATGACATTTACATGAAGCAATGTATTTAAATTTATTCAAATCAATGGAAACAAAACTTAGCATAACCAGGAATATAAATAATAAATTATAAATAATCTATACATGAAAATAATTATTAATACAATTAGATATTACTAATAGCATATTCACATAAACTGAATGTCAACTGTGTTACCAGTATTTCAGAAGTCTCTGGCCACCAAATCTATTTTCCATAATATGACTGTAGTAAATTTTAAACTTTTTAATTACACAAATTCTTACCCAAATTCTGAATTGCCCTTATTTATCATTTTATTAAACAGAATCTCAAACTAGGAGAAATTAGCACTATTTGAATTTAAGGTCATGTCATTTTTTTGATCATATTATTTTCATGGTAAACTGGATCAGTATCTAAAATTGCAAAGTGTGCAGAAGTGTATTTATATGCGTCTTATTTTTATGACTCAGGTCATCGAGAATACCTCTTCTCAAAGAGAGACTGTCATCAGTGCTTTATACAGCAGTTTGAACAAAGTCATTCTATATTGCCTCTCCAAGCCCCAGCAGTCCCTGTCTGAGTGCCTCAGCCTTCTCAGCATCCTGGGCTTTCTACAGGAGCACTGGGACATTATCTTTGCCACCTATAATTCCAACGTCAGCTTCCTCCTGTGTCTCATGCATTGCCTTTTGCTGCTCAATGAAAGAAGGTAGGAGCTGCCTACTTATTTCCTTGACTGCTGGTGTTCAGAATAGAAAAAAAGAAGACTGAGAAGGAACTAGATTCAGGTCAATATAAGTGATATAAACTTTTTGTTTATCCAGTTGTCTAAATTATGTGCAGCATTTGATAATATGGTAAATAATCCTCAAACATGTTCATATGATTGAGCAACTAGAATCATCCTGCAATAATAATTAATCCTATTTCTGTAATTCTACACTGTAAGATACTTTATTGATTAATTTTTTTTCTTGTACCAGGGATTGAACCTAGAGGCATTTAACCACTGAGCTACATCCCCAGCCCTTTTAAAAATATATTTTATTTAGAGACAGGGAAGAGAGCACTGTACCATGTTATACTTTGCTCTTGTCCTTTTTGTTGCTTAAATTTATCCCAGTACAAAGAGACAGGGTTTTGTTAAGTTGCTTAGGGCCTCACCAAGTTGCTAAGGATGGCTTTGAACTCAAAATCCTTCTGCCTCAGGCCTCAGCATCCCAAGTCACTGGGATTATAGGCATGTGCCACCATGCCCAGCTTGATTTAATTTTTTGAGGCAGGAAATGCTAACATCAAATGTACACACTGATTCTTTTGATACAGACAGGTTTTAGAAACATTAACATTTGATAAAGGCAATTCAATTATGGGAAAAATCATATAATACACTGTATTGTGCAAGCCAGGAATAATTTGTCTTGCAGACACACACAAACACAGACACACACACAGATACACACCCACACACAAAAATAAACAAACAAACAACAACAACAAAAACAGATGTTCAGTCTATATCATATGAAACCATCTCCTTGGCATCATGTGGCTTACAAATATAATCTCTTATTAAGAGGGCCATGGTTGAGTGTAGGGAAGAGAGGATAGTACCATGTTACACTTTGCTCGTGTCCTTTTTATTGCTTAAATTTATCCCAGTACAAATTACAAGTTTGATCACTTAAATAAAAATTCCCCAAATCCTGTACACATGACCACTGGACACCACAAAACACTGAAGCTGACCTGTCTTAAAGCTCTCTGGGAATCACTGGGAAGTCCTCCTAGACTAGAGGAGGCACTTGTCCTTTTATTGGTCTGTAATGAAAAAAGATATTTTCAGTGTATAGTTAAATGTGGGGAAGTTTTTTTTTCTTTCTTCACATTTCCAGAATTAAGCCCTAGCCATATTGAAAGCACAGGTGAAAAGAGCAGAATTCCTATTGAATTTGTGTGCTCAAAATGATACCCTCCTCAGAGACTTCTATGTAGCAAAATGACCTCCAACATCCCCAAATTAATTTATTGTAGAAATTTCATGAATTGGGCATTTTCGTATGTTGGCATTTTTTTATTCCCATGTTTATTATTTTAGGTTCAATTTATAAACATTTGCTGAGTGTTTATTCAGTGCAGGATGCTGAGAGGGGCTCTGAAATGAGGGCACATAGACATTCACGTGGTAGGGACTACCAGATTCCTGGGGAACTGAATACATAACCACTGTGCCCCCACTTAGAACTGACTACACCATGTGTGGAAACCTGGCAAAATTAAAATGTAGGGACCACATTCAAAATTTACCAAGAACTTAAAGATGGTGATAGCAGAGTCCAAGTATGGGGCCCTTCCAAGTTCAGGACCATGTGCGACTACAGTTTGCACACCCATTCAAAGCAGAACAAAATCAATGCCAAACAAAGGAAAATTCAGTACATTGGGAGTACACAAGAAATGATCAATTCTGATTATAAGGAACAGAATAGGGTTCAGGGGCCTGCTGGGATCATGAGTAGTGCTTCCCAAGATAGACTTCACATGAAGATAAGGTGTTTTCCTATTATCCAGAAAACTGTTTTGCAATATCTGCTATGGAAATTATTATGCATTTTCTTTAACTTGATTTAACACATTTTCCATACTGATCTATACTGGGTTTGAAGGATGGTTACTCATAGAACCATGGAACAATCTCAAATTTGAGTTTATAGTAAAAACAATAACAAAAAAAAAACCCTCTTGTCTATTAGTTATCCAGAAGGATTTGGATTGGAACCCAAGCCTAGAATGACTCCTTATCATCAAGTCTTTCTTTCCCCAAATGAAGAAGTAAAAGAAAAAACAGAGGAAAACGTCCCAAGTTTGAGTGATGGTATGTCTTATTTAGTGTTCACTTTTTGTATAGGGGGATTGTGGATGGATAGTTGTATCTGCAAAGTTGCATCCTTCATCTGTCTTTCCAAAGTTAAGAAAGCAAATACTATTAAGGAAAACTTCAAAGATCAGAAGAGGACTTAGGAAATCTCAGAGTGAAGAAGTAGCTCAACAAGTTTACATGATAGAAAATAACACAGGAATGACTGTTGTATCTTAGAAATGAAATGAAAAGGGATAGATAGGTGGATCTGTGGATGGATGGATGGATGGGTGGATGGATGGATGGATGAATGGATGAATAGAAAACTTTGTAGGACTTGGTTCCTCTATAAGCTTGGCCTACTTGCTTAAATCCCTGGGCATCTCACTATAAGTTTAAACTGGCAGACCATCTCACCTATCTCAAGCCTTTATGCCTAGGGATTACTTAGCTTTGTTCCTTAGAAAATGGGGAAGGAGTTAATAAATTCATTACTATCGGGCTAGGGATGTGGCTCAAGTGGTAGCGTGCTCGCCTGGCATGCGTGCAGCCCGGGTTCGATCCTCAGCATCACATACAAAGATGTTATGTCCGCCAAAAAACCCCTGAAAAATAAATATTAAAAAAATTCTCTCTCTCTCTCTCTCTCTCTTAAAAAAATTCATTACTATCTATAAGACTTTTGGCTTGATAAATTTTGTTCTTGGATTTACTAATGTCAACCCAAGTTAAAGGCATTGTAAATTTATATATAACAAATGTATGTTTATCTATCTATCCATATATATCTATTTTACACACACACACACACACACACATACACACACACACACACACACACACACACAGAGCAGGCAGTTCTATGTGTTTGAAAGATTGCACTCTACCTCTTGATCCAGGAAGTAGAAGGTTTTGTCACTTTGATTTGTGACTGTGCCACTTTGTGATATCTTGTGATATAAAATCTCATGCACAAGTACCTCTGTATTCTGGTCACACAGGTGCCCAAAGAAAGTGATCAAAAATCTTGTGACTTTAAAGTTTATACAGACACAGTTTTAATGACAGCATGAATGTATGCACTTTGGTACTTGGATGGTAAAGCTGGACTGGGTAACATCCATTTCTCGATGTTAAGATAAAATAGATTATAGAAGGTTAGAACCAGAGAGGGACCCATTGATTCAAGATTAGGAAATTTAGGCACAGTTTGGGGACTGTAGATGTGGGTTCAGCAGGCAGAGTTGGCTTAGTATCTGAGCAAACCTAGGGAATGAGGTGGGTGTGTTCTGGGAAGTATCATCAAATACTAGGAAAAAAGGATTGGATTAGGTCCTGAGCCTCTGGTCACAGTCTAGAGCTTGAAATCCCTTCCTCAGGCCAACATGTATGGGGAGGTTGGAAGGAGCTGTTTAGGGGGAGCTGGCTTGTTACATAGGGTCACACAGGGCATCTCTCTGGTATCCAATGGAATTGACAGGGGATGGGGGAAGAGGTTCCCTCCCATCAATCACTCTCTTTCCAGACCTGGACACATCAGGCAGGTGTGACTTGTTAACAACTTAGACACAGGGAAAGGCCATCTTTTGGGGATGTTGGCAGCATTGTGTCAGCCCTGTGACTCTACAAGCTGATTACTTCTGGCTGGAGTTTTCAAAGCTGGGGGTGATATGCAAGACATTAAGCAAGAAGTATGTAGGTAAAAGCTTCCATGATATGCCATCTTTTCACCCTCTCTGGGAGTGAGGCTGTCCTGATTGTGCCATGTGCTCTCTCTGCTAGTCCAGCACAATATTCAGAAGACAGTGCAGACTCTCTGGCAGCAACTCGTGGCTCAGAGGCGGCAGGCACTGGAGGACACCTTCAAGATCGATCTCTCTGTGAAACCTGGAGAGAGTGAAGTGAAGATTGAAGAGGTCACCCCACTCTGGGAGGAAACGATGCTCAAGTCCTGGCAGCATTACCTAGGTCTCTCTCCATTCAGCTCCAGGGGATGGGAAATTCTGGGTTTTATAAAGCCAGATTCCTCTGAGGTTCCACTCGGGATCCAGAGCCTTTTCTACTCAAACCCTCTATCTTATGCCTTTGGTTGGGGTTTATATCCTTGAAATTTCATGTATCTTTCTCACAGAGAATGAATGCTGCTTTCGTTTTGGATGAAAGAAAGGTTACAAGTACCAACCAAACAAGTAGATTATAGTCTCTCCAAGGAATGGGCACTGGGTCAGGGCTCAGGGCCCTGGAGTTCTAGATCCCGCCCTGATGTTCCCCTGCCACCTTGGAAACCTTGCACCAAATTATGCAACAACAGTGAGCCTTGGGTTCCTAGAGTCCTGACATTTAAAGAAGTGAATGTCTTCAACCCCAAAATATTAATATGATAGTGACTCAACACTTTTACCCGCATATTAGTTAATGCAGCTGCAAGAATAAGGTCTTAATTTTTTTAAACTTTTTTTTTTTCGTTATAGATGGCACAATATCTTTATTTTGTTTATTTATTTTTATGTGGTGCTGAGGATAGAACCTAGTGCCTCATGTGTGCAAGGCAAGTGCTCTACCACTGAGCTACAGTCCTGGCCCATTAATGGTGTTTCTAAGGAGGTCCTTGCTCTCAAATTATGGCTCCTATCCTTATTTTAAGTCTTTTAGCATTATAAAATTCAGAGTGATTCAAGACTTTATTCTTTTTCCGTCTAAGTGCCCTGGACCATCCAGAGGTATGGAAACTTTATTTAACTAGCTTTTCAAGTTAGTCCAGGCAAATATGTATGTCCATATCTGCCTTAGTCTATTTTTACTGCTTAAAGAAAATAATCACAAAATAGATAATTTATAAATAATAGTTATTCACTCACAATCCTGAATGCTAGGGAGTCCAAGTTATAGGCACCAGAAGACTCATTGTCTGGTAAAGGCTCTTTCTGCTTTCAAAGTAGCACCTTATTGCTACATCCTCTGGAGGGAAGGGACACTATATCCTCATATGGTGAAAGGGTTGAAAGAACAAAAGGGCCCAGACTACTTTTCTCCAGTCCTTTTATAAGGCACTATATATTCACGAGGGTATGGCCCTCATGACTTAATCACCTCCTAAAACAATACACTTTTAATACAGCCACAGTGGGAATTAAGTTTCCACATCAATTTTGGAGGGAATATATTTAAACCTTAGCACTAATTATGTACTTACATGTACAAGTTGAAGCCAAAATGTCAGATTGCACTTTAGGGGAAAATATAATAAAATTGGATACATATACCCATGCAAATACAATGGAATAAAAAGGCAAGATGGACCTTTAACCTACAAATGGCTCTCTTTTGGCCAACAACCAATATTGAGCAGTTTCTGTGTTCTAGGTGCTATATACACATAATTTGTATAATCTTCATGATACCCCTGTGAGTTTAGATACAATTTATTCCCATTTTACAGGATGAGAAAACTGAGGCATGGCAACATTAGCTAACTTGTCCAACATTTCACTAAGTATCAGAAAGTCATGGAGCTAGGAGTTTAAGCTAGGTCTGGTGACCCCAAAGTCCACACTGTGTTTCTTAGCCAAGGGAGTACCAGAACATATCAGTGTGAGCCACAGCCCGGGCCGTTTCACTTATTGGATTTAGGCACACTATGCTTGTATCCCCTGGCTGGCCCTTGAAAGACAAGCCAGCTGTCAAAATAGTGTATGCTCTCCTTTCAACTTCAACTCTAATATTCTTTGCTTCTCTGTCCCCAGCGTCTGAGAAGAAGTCACTGGCCAGTCGTTCGAGTGTCACACACCAAAGCAAAGTCACTTCATGGAGTGAGAGCCTGTCCTCAGCCATGAGGCTGATGCCCGGGCGGCAGGCCAGGGACCCTGAGTGCAAGGCCGAGGTGAGCCCACACTCCTTTTCCTTAGAGATTGTCAGGCATTGTCTTCAAGCTTCACGAGTCTCTTTTCTGTTGACTGTCCTGGACATGATCTAATGCCATGTTCTCTGAGTGCCTGAGGGTGTGTGTGTGGTTCCTAGTCGAGGCTGCATGCAGTGAAGCCGGGTGGTAAGCAGGTTTTAATGTCAAGTGAATGTGGACTCCCTTTTGGTGCCAGGTACAGGTGTTCCTTACGAGATTGAAAACTAAGCCCGTTCTTCCCATTCTCTTTTGGAGTTACCGTGTGTTCAGAGGGAACTAGTCGATGCTCAGCAGGACCTGGGTGTGTAAGCACATCCAGGGGGACTAAACCTGACTGTATAGGTGGCTCCATTTCTAGTAGACACAGTGATGGGCCTGCTTGACTGCGTGGGGCAGAGTCATTGAGGTTTGCCTAATCTGCTTTTTGAAAGCCATGTAACAAAATCATCCCCAAACTCAGTGACTCCAAAGAATTTGGAGCACAGTAAGAGAATAGGGTCTCTGCTCCATGATGTCTACAAATCAGCTGGAATCTGAATTAGTCAGTTTTTCAACACTGTGACCAAAATACTGAGCAAGAACAAATTAAAGGATGAAAAGTCTATTTGAGCTTACAGTTTCAGAGGTTCAATCCACAGTTGGCCAATTCTATTGTTCTGGTCCCAAGTTAAGGAGGACACCATGGAAGAGAGGTATGGCAGGAAAATGGTAGGAAAGCTTATCACCTTATACTAACCAGGACGCAGAGAGAAAGAGGGGGAGGGAGGGGGTAGGAGGGGGGGGGACAGGGACAAAAATATATAATCCCTAAGGCATCTCTGCAGTGACCCACTTCCTTTAGCCATGCCCCACCTGCTTATGGTTACCCCTCAGTAATCTCTTCAAATTATTAATACATCAAATGCATTAACCCACTGATTAGGTCCTAGCTTTCATTATCTAATCTAATTTTACATCTTATATTAACATAGGAGCTTTGGGGGGGCACCTTATATCCAAACCACAATAGGATCATCAAGAACCCAAATACTTAGACACCTGGTGTTTGCCGCTGTCTTGAGGTTGAGACTTTAGCTGGGACTTTGGCTGGAACACCTACACATCGCCTCTCCATATGAACTGGGCTTTCTTACAACATGATGGCAGGATTTCCAGAGGTAGTGATGAAAGGGTAGTGGGGGAGGAACGAATGAGAACGCACACCAGGCCAAAGCTACACTGCTTTTCATGACCTCTCTTCAGATATCACATTGTTGAGACAGGCAGAGGGTTCTGCTCAGGTTCCAGGGAAGAGAACAGGACTCCACCTCCATATAGGAGTGGCAAATTTCTACATGAACATGTGAGCTTGGAGGTACTGCTGAGGTTCTTTGGAAAGCACAATCAGGCTTGTATTCCCCAATGCTGGGGTCATGGACTTATCTTTAGAGACAGACTTGTTGCTGCTGGATAAGATCTTAGGGTCAGGAGACTCTGGAACAAATTCCTTAATTTCCCTGAGTCTTTATCTCCTTATCTCCACAATGGAGCACATCACTATAGGAAGAGGAAAGGGACCCCCAGGGAGATGCAGCAGATAGCTGACATAGTCTACCTCCCAGCCTGTGCAACTTGGGAAATGAGGTGAAGCCCAAGCTCTACCACTCAGAATGGGCACTGGTCAGTGACTGACTGGGAGACACAGTCAAGAGATGAGAAGAAGGGAGGAGGAAAGGACTGCCTGCAGCTGCCCAGGAAGTTGAGGAAGAAGGCTTTCTTCCTACCAAAACCTAGGAATCAAAGACTCCCGGGGAACAAGGAGAAAGAACCTAAACATGGAAGGGAAGACCAGAAATGAGCTTGACTGGGCTGCCATGCCACCTGGTGCTGAGAAGTCAGGAGAAAGCCTGCTCTCATCCAGGCCGCGTCCTGAGGGACACTGGTGTTCTGAACACACTTCTCATTTATCTGTTTAACAAATATTTATGTTGAGCACTCACTCTATGCTCTGTTTTAAACACTAAGGTTACCATGGAGAACAAAACTGATATATTCCCTGCATTTATGGACCTGCATTCTAGGGAGTGAAGGTAGATGATAAGTAGATAGATAAATTTGTAAATGTTGGAGATATGGCTTGCAATCAGGAAGAATTTAGCAGCATAAATGGAAGAAGGCAGAGAGAGGGGTGCCCAGGTATTTAGATGGAGGAGGTTCACAAAATTGTTTCTAACAAGGGGTTATTGGAGACACCAAAAGACTTGAGAAAGAACATGATCCAAGTGAGGCTTAGGAAGAGAACAGGTCAGGCTGAGAGGACATTACACCATGGCACCGAGGCAGGCACATACTGGGTGTCCCAGAGCAGCAAAGGCTTGTGTGGCTGCACTGAGATGGATAGAGGCATCTGCGATCACCCCAGCTTCCAGGCAGCCATGGAGAATGTCTCCCTGAGCTTTTAATACCAGGAAGAACTGTGCTTCCAGCAACTCAGTGGAAGAAATTTTGTAACTGATTGTGTTTTTCTCTTGCATCTGGAATATGGATACTCAAAAGCTTAAAGAGATAAGCATGGTCCGGCTTTTGGAACTGCACCCATGACATGGGATAAATTTCTGTAACACACACACACACACACACACACACACACACACAATTTGTTTGGCACCTCCTTTCCCCTTGACCCTCACTTTCTCTTTCATTTGATTTATATATCCTTTCAACACCTTAAAATCTTTTGTGCAGTTTTAAAGACAAATTAATTTTGGAACAAAGGGTACTATATTTTAATTTTTAAAAATTAACCTTTGATGGGCAGCAGGCTACTTCGGTAACTCAGCCTGGGCTGGACACAGTGCCTGCCATGCAGCAGGCCCTTAGAGAATGAGCATGGAGGGGTTCCGAAGGAGAAAGTAGAAGGCTCCCCCTCCTTTCACTGAGATGAAACTCACCAGCCTTCAGACCCCACATCCATCACTCATCTCCATGAGCTGCCTTTGTCGCTACCAGAAGGCACAAGTTCTCAGGTACATATGTACACTGTGATGTCATAGGATAAGAGCATCAACTATTTGCCCTGGGGTCTGTTTAATTATTTTTAAAAATTAATTTTGATTATTACAGCTGATTACACCTCAGTGAGCAATGTAATTGATATTTTCTAATGTATCCCAAGGAACATTTTGTACAACACGCTTTTTGTTGTTGAAGGTTAAAGACTCCGTTATTGGTTTTTCCCTAAATATGCCCACATCATTAGTCCCTCCAGTGAGGAGGTCGCCATCTGGAAAAAGCAGCATGGAGACATTATTCAGGCACAAGTGCATGAAATTGGTGTTTTTGCATCTTCTGTCTCTCTTCTGGAAAGAAGAGGCTTGTAATTAAAGGAGTTGATATTGGAGGAAGCATTATTCATTTGGTGTTATTCCTTATCATGTCAGCTGCTGACAGCTCTATAGCACTGATAAATTGTTCTAGGGAGTGAGACATATGATATAGGATTCATAATTTTTCTTACCTATCTTCATTTTCAGCAGAAAATGTTTACTTCTTGGCAGGTGAACAACTTTGAAGCAAGGTCTATTTGATACATGCTATTTTTTAAATAGATACTATTTCTTCTTTTCCCCTGACTCCATTTCACTTCCTTCTGGAATCAGACTGTGGAGTCACCATTTCTAGCATGGCAAAGGCTGAGGGTGTTCGTTTGTTGGACAGAGGATGTGTACTTGGGCTCTCTTGAGGTCACCAAAATCCAACTCAGGGTGTTCCAGAATCTTGTTCACCCTTGGTTTGGAGAGATTCAGGGTGCACACTCTTGCCAGCCATTTCTCTTCCTAGCAGGAATGTGACTTGACAGGGGTGTGGAAAGTGTGTGGTTTAGAAGGTTCTGTGGAACTCTGCAGAGCATGAGGAAGAATAAGAGCCAGAGGATATAGGGGTGGGAGTGCAGGGCTACTTCTTGCCCCTAAAAGGGTAAACACAATCCTGATCTGTGTCTTGTTGGGCAGGGTGAGCTAGACTTCACCCCACTTTTCCCCTGGAACCAACTGCCCACTGTAGATATGTAGATGCTTTCTGTGCAGGGAGCCAGGTGGGTTCCACATGATAGGGAGGCCCACAGGCCACCCTTCAACTAAAATTTGGACATTGTATAGAGGAGCTCGACACCCCATGCCCACCATACTTCCATGGTTTTGGAGATGGATGGGAGAGCTTCCATTTCCTATTTTTAATGCCATTTGTCAGAAAACTGAAATAGCTCATAGAAGGAAGTTGGGGCCTATGAAAATTAACAGAAGGGAAATGGGAAGGCACAAGAAGACTGAGGCTGACATACCATTTACTCCTTACCTGGTCACACACCAGGCCTGCTTTCTCCCAGCCCCAGCCATGAAGCCATCCCTGTCCCTGGAGGAGGACAAGGTGCTGAAACCAGCAAATCAGTAACAATTCCATGAAAGGCAGCCCTTTCTGAGGTCCTTAGCCAAGGGTCTGACATTTGTAAACATCTACTCTGAGCACTTCATCCATTAACTCTTTAAAACAAATCCTTGTGGAACATTTCAAACACATACTACAGAAGAAGAAAAAATACTAACAGTGGTTCCCTATGTATCTATCCATCACTTCAACAGTTGTGAACCCTTACAGCCTCCCTGTCACTACCCATTTTCAGATTGTACCCTGAATAATTCTGAAGCAGTGTCCTAGACAATTGATCTTTACATGTGTCACTATTTCTGAACACTTATTTTCTCTTTTAAAAAAATCATGAAAGCCGAATAAAAATTGCTGAAAAGAAAGCCAATGTGCAGAACTGGAAGGCTCAGGCAATTGTCAGGGGAGTGATCAAGCAGTTCTTGGGTCTTCTTGGCTGCCATGTTTGCATTGTCCCCTGCTGATGAGGGGTGATGACCTTGCTGGGGCCCACAGGTCATTGAGCCACAGAGAACCACTTGTCAGAGTTTCAGGAAGACGGAAAACAAGGTCCTCCCATGGCA